AATGCTTTGCCATTGCCTTTGCTGGATTTTTTTTTAACAAAACTTCCCATCCACCATTGATATGTAGCCTTCTATTTACATTTTATCCATGTATGACCCTGTTTACTTTTATGAGAGATAGTTTCAAAACATTTTAGTCAAAGGGTTTTAGTCTTCATTCTAGAATAAAATATTGCATATCAATCATTTCCTCCTCCTCCTCCTCCTCCTCCTCCTCCTCCTCCTCCTCCCCTGTTGTCATGGCACATTTTGCCATGTCAGCCACTAACTCAGTTAAATCTCTTTACTCACTCCTCACTTTTGGCAGCACTCAGACCTGTTTACTGCATTCCAAATAATTACTGTTGGGAACACAAAGCCCCCATCCATTTTATTTATTAAATGCCTAATGTCTCATGTGTCTTCATGCAAGGAGACTACTGGATGGCTTCATGATATTTCTAACTTATTCTGTCATGGGCAGACAAGTAACAGTAGCCAGGGCTTGGGCACTGCAACCAATTGATGTTGGATGGTATGTTCTGTGCTGCTCAGACTTGGTGTAAAATTCTGTTAGTGTGTAATGTGTGGAAAATGGTTCATTTGACTGGATTTAGATACAGTATTCCCACCAGATTGAGTAAATGAGGCTGATTTAGCTTTGTGAAGGACTTGATCTTCGGATATTAATTTTAACCCCTCAGGATTTAGTCGACTAAATAATTAATCTCTTTTTGGTGTTCCTATAACATCTCTTCTGATTCTATTAAATATTTTACAGAAACAGAGCCACTATCTATCATGCCACAATATCAAACAGCTATGCAAGCTTCAGGGAGAAAATCTTCATAGGATGGCTGCAAATAAAAATTAAGTCCCCTGAGATAATTTAATCAAAGATGTGTTATTACTTTCTTTGCACAAATACTTGGGTTTGCTTTTGAGAAATAGAATAAAATGAATAAGGACATTTAAAGAAGGTAGAAATGAGAGAATGGGTGGCATTCATTACCTTTATGGCAAATGGACCATGTGTCTTTTAATAATGACAAAAGGGATACATGTTATAAATGCCCTTAAAAATGTGATCTAGAATTATAGACTATAAACCACCAGACAAGAGGCGGTCTTGGATTTCACTATATATGATTTATAAATTATTGAACCACTTGGAAGCAATGCCTAAAGAACTGCCAGATTGATTGATTGGTACATACATACATACATACACACACACACACACACACACATACATACATACATACATACATACATACCCCAGTGAAATTAGAATCAACTATGTGGTTATTTAATTCATAGAGAAGTAGAAAATTGTCAGTGAGACCAAATATAATGACATTTGGCATCAAATAGGAAATATCTGAAATTTAGTGTTTGCTAAAAAGGACATCAAAGGAAAAATCAAATCTTGCCACAATTATTGGAGGTTTCTCAAAATGACAGTAATGGATATTTAGCTATGTGATGCAGACCTCTGTAAATCTTTTTTTTTTTTTAAACTAGAAGGATGTTTGTCACATGAAACTCAGATGAAAATACCTTTTTAATGTTTCCATGTGGTTGACATACAGTGGCACCCTCAGGATAGAAGAGAACAATCTATCAATTTGTGTCTCTCAGACTCATCCTAGACTGTGTTATCAAAATTTGATGGAAAGGCAACAGGTTTTGGCAGTACAATTTTTTAAAGGAAGCAATAAAATAGGATTGTGGAAGATGCTGGTAGAATTAATACCATTTAAACTTATATACTGCTTTACAGTGTTATGCCCTATTTTATAAACTCCCTTTCTCCTACCAAAAAGGGTAATAAATAAAATCTTGGCAACATCCCCTCCAGGGATGTCAGTGTGTCATCCCAGATCTCCTATTTTACAGAAGTTGGATAGTGATAGATAAAATAGAAGCACAATGCAACATAGCCACAAGTGTGTTTACTTAGTGCTATGAAGAAAAATAATAATTTGAATTGTTGACATTGCTTCTAGGGCAACACTGCATACAGGTAGTCCTTGGCTTTCAACCATTCATTTAGCGACTGTTCCAAATACTCACTTACAACTATTGCAGCATCACCTTACATACAACTATTGTAGCATGATCAACATTTGAGTGTTTAGTAACTGGCATCTATTCATGACGTTGCAGTGTCCTAGGGTCACGTGATCACCACTTGCCATCTTCCCAGCCAGCTTCCAACAAGCAAAGTTAACGTGGAAGCTGGAGTCCCTTAACAACTACACAATTCAGTCAACAACTGAAGCCATGAAAAAAGTTGTAGAATTGGACACAACTTACGTAGCAACCCCTGGCTTAGCGACAGAAATGTCGATCCCAATTGTGGTGGTAAATCAAGGGCTACCTTTATTAGCTGTGCTAAGTTTCTACAAAATGCAATCAATTTCAGCCGCCATGTTTCGAGCAATGTTTGCTTAAAGCAGAGTTCCCCAACTTTTCCAGCTTTGTGGACCGGTGGGGAGGGAGAGAGAGAGGGGACAATTTGGTGCAAGTGATGGGCAAGTGTGTGTTGCCCGCTTCTCACGCAAGTGGGGATGCAGGTGTGCGCTCACCTGCCATTTCTGCGGCCCAGTTCTGAACCGCTCCTGGTAGTGGGTCATGGCCTGGGGCCCCCTAGGTTAAAATAAATAAACAGAAATAGGAAATATTGGTTATTAATAATCATGCCCCAGTTTCATGGCTTAAAATGAATGGGGAAAAAATTGTTATCAGGCTGAATCCATAAGGAAGTTTGATGAGACAAAACCTTACTGTATTTCACTCATTGCTGATCTTCCCTGAGTACAGACCAATTCAGGTCTGGTAGCAGGAATTGACAATGTTGATATTGCATGTGGGGGTGCCAGGGAAACTTGCAATACAAAACTTGTTTTCTCTTTAACAGGGATTGGCCAAAATGTACTTAGTTCTTTAACGTTTAACTTGTTTATTTGAACTGTTGGCTCAGCACCTTCAAACCGGGGTAGCATCCAGCATTGCACTGGTAGAATGGAATGTGTGGAATCCCTCTGGCTCCTGAAAAGCCTTTCCTAAGGTTTCTGGACCCACCTTTAAGGTATGGATGAAATGAGGCAGCCTGTGGGGGTAAGGAAAGCTCTGAAAACCAGGCAGAAAGTCTACCCATAGAAGGTGTATCTGCCTGATTTTGGGGGAGGGCATTCTTCCTGTGGACATTGTGTGCAATTCACCCGCTTCAAGGCCTTCTGTTGACTTTGCCTGAAGGCAGATTTTTATCAAATGCATATTTGATGTGCATAAATCCAAACAATGAGAGGTGTGTGTGTGTGTGTCTGTGTGCATGTGCGTGCATGCCCATGCATTGTCATGCTATGCATTGTTGTTAGAGAGATTCCTCCCTGTCACTCAGCTAATGTTCCTAATATTTTTGCTGTTTTTGTCTGACCATCGCCTAGAAAGGTTAGCACAAATAATATTTGGTTATTTAAGTAGGACTTTCTGAAGTAATGAAGTGATGATTTCTTTTCCTCCTCCGGTAAATTAGGGTACCCAATTTAGCTGAAGTTGAAGCCATACTGTTAATTGAGTCCTTGGAGTTCTATACTTTTTCTGATCAAGGATTGTAATTCTGTCACTAAGTCAATCAATCAATTCCCATTCAGGAGGTATGTGGGAGAACTCTGACGCCCAGAGCTTTCTGTGAGCATTGGGGAGGGCTGGGGAAGGTGAGGAAAAAAAATACCTGCAAATTTCCTGTGTTACTAGAACTCCCAGTTTGGGTTATGGAAGATTTAAGAGATAAACTGGGACTCCAGAACTTGAGTATTTTTTTTGTAACTTGTTTGTCCCAGACCTATTTCCTTGTTCAAAGTTCTTTCCTTATATAGGAATAGCCATTACCTATAAGTTTTTTTTTTTTTTGCGAGAATACAGATTAGATCACCATTCCTTTTTTTTCTTTTCTTTAACGGGAATAATTTTTGTAATAAAATATGAATTGCAACTTTCTCTTCTGGTTGTCCAGCTCACACAATAGTTTCAGCGAAGCAAAGCTAGATGAGACTGTTGGGCTGAGTAAGTCATCTCTGCATTTTCAAACCTAGAGTTGAGAAGGCAAAGAACAATTCCCCTCTTTTTCCCCCCTCCTTCTCTCTCTCTCTCTCTCTCTCTCTTTTTTTTCTGGTCGGGTTCCAAATCTATACAATCGAAAAGTGATGCTGCCTCCCAAGGAGAGGAGCATTGCCTGTACATTTTCAACATTCTTTCTGGAGTTAATGACTTAGAAACTTGACTCCCCAAAACAGGGAGGGCTCAGCCTACTGGTGTATGTGGATATGTATTTATGTGTATATGCATATGTGTGTGTGTGTAAAGTTTAGTCACGAAAGGTGGGGGGAGTGTAAAGAGGAAGAAAATGCAGAGCCTCAGGGCAGCCTCTGACAGCGCAGTGGGCTGGCAGGCAGCTCCCAAACAATGTGCTTAGTATTATCTGCAAGATTGGAGTTGTCGGAGCGGGCTGGCTGCTGTGGCTGTACCTGTGCAGCCTGGGCTATCGTTGGCTAGGTGCCAGCGTGCCGAGAGGGTGATTTCCCCCCTTCTTTCTGCCTTGCCTGCCTCTCTCCCTGCTGCATACACGGTATGTAGCTCTTCTTACCCCCCCCTCCTTACGAGAGTCCTTAAAAAGAAAAAAGAAAAACCCTGGAAGCAGCTCCTTTGGTAACATAGTTTTAAGGACTTGTTATTGTTGGTGATTGTGTTGTGCTTCTTGATGTTGGTGGCTTGAAAGAAAATTGGAAGTGTGTGGAGGGGGATTTGCTCATCGGCTGCTCTCTTTCCCCTTCCCCAGGCTTCCGTTTTTTCCCCCCTGGGTGAGGCCCCTTTTCTTCCCAGTTCTTGCATGTTTTGGTTTGGAAAGGCAAGATTTTTGATTTTAATTTCCCTCTTCTTTCATACCTTCCCTCCCTCCTCCCCTCCCTCCCCTCCTTTCCCTCAACCCTGCTGCCCTTGTTTCTCTTTCTGCACAGGTTGCAAGCTATCCTGTCACAAGAAATGTGAAGCCAAGGTAAGAATGGCTTATTCTGTCTCTTTATTGTCTTACAACAACATTGTAGTTTGGGCTTCTTTTTTCCCCCCTTTCTTTTCCTTTTCCGGGTGATGATGCGAATCTGCTTTGAAAAGCACCGGGATGAGGAACTGGCGGCTTCAGTGGCTAGCTTTTCCTCCTTCCTTGCACTTCTGTTGAATCCTAAAACGGCAATCAGGCGATCTGGCGATTGTTGTTCCAAGCACGGTTTGCCAACTTCTCACCAGATTTCAAAAGCTCTCTTTCCAAGTTATTTCAGGGCATTTCTGTTCTGAGATGTTGCAAGGAGAGCCATGTGCTTGCCTTGATATCTATTGCTTAAACAGTTAATGGGACTTTTGAAAAATTCCTTCCTGGTTTGGTTATGGCGGTTTGTCTAGGTTCCCCCCCCCGCCCCCGCTCGATCCCCATGTACACACACTCAGAGGCGGCACTGGGTTAGCAAGAAGGGTTTTAAAAGCTTTTAAAGGTGATCCATCTTTCCTTGTGGGAGGGCAAGGCTGTAAAATAAATGCACGAACCTGAGAATCAGCCCATCCTTCTCATTCAAAGCAGGCAGTAAGATGCTCGGAGAAGATGGACTGGGCTTCAAGAAAATCCTTCTTTGCCTGCTGTATTCTATAGTACATCAGTTCAAGTTGGCTTCTCTTAATGTATCTCCTGAAGAATGCGTTCTCATTTTTGCATTATGTTAATCCCCATGACAACCTTCCTGCTTTAACGCACTGGGTACAGAGGCCAAATTCAAATCCGTCTAGTAGGGCTCAAGGTTGATTTGAGCACTGGTCCTCTTGTCTCTCTCTTTGCTGGATTGCATGGCTTCTTAGAGATTAGACAGGTTCATGACAGCAGTTTCTTGCGTTTATCAATGACAACCTCCAAAGACAGAGATATTGAAGATATGATGTGATTTAGAATGCGGACAACAGCCAAGGTTAAACTGGGATGACCACATCCCAGAGTATGAGACTATGTCCACCAAATTCAATCCAAATATTTCAGAGTAACAGAGTTGGAAGAGACCCTGGAGGTCTTCTAGTCCAACCCCTTGCTCAAACAAGAAACCCTATATCATTTCAGACAAATGGTTGTCCAATCTCTTTTTTTGAAACCTCCAGCGTTGGAGCACCCACAGGTTCTGGAGGCAAGTTGTTCCACTCAGTAAATTTCTCCTTAGTTCTAGGTTGCTTCTCTCCTTCATTAGTTTCCATCCATTGCTTCTTCTCTTGCTTTCTGGTGCTTTGGAGAATAGGCTGACCCTCTCTTCTTTGTGGCAGCCCCTTAGACATTGGAACACTGCTATCATGTCACCCCTAGTCTATTTCCTTTCACTTCCTTAGTCCCATCACAGAAGCTGATGCTACAAGGGGATTTTGAATGCTTGGACTCCTGCTGCCCAGTTTCCTGCATTTTTTTTACAGTGTTGATTAAAAACTGATGGAAATATAGAGAAGAAGGCTAGTGCAGAGGCACTTTGGAAACTTCTTGGCTTCCAGCTTATGTAAAGCAGAGACATACAAGCTGAAGTGCAGGGATATATGTTGCCTCCTAAATCCCCTTGTCTTTTCCTTTTCCTTGTCTTCTTTAAAAGTTGCTGTTGAATTGTAATATTTAATGTGTCATTTAATATATGAGAAATAATCTTTAATTTAATTTTTTTTTCTGTAGATTGCTAGCTTTTGACTGACCCACCCATTTATATATCTTGGCACCATCTATATTTTCTGAGCAAGCCCAGAACCAAATTCTGGGAAGGTCTTCAGGATAATGATAATTGCATAACCCTGAAGTAGAGATACCTGTCTGCATTGTCCTGGTGGTGAATGCCTGAACAGTGTAGTGGCTCAGTTTAGAAGATAATGCAGTAGCTACATCATTGAGTAGGGTGCACGATTGTGTTTTCCTTCTTCCATCTGATACTTTCTTCCTATATGTCCTTGTGAAGGGTGTTTATGGAAATGCCAAGATCATATAGTTTTCTGAGAACAAATTGCCTGATTCTGGTCTTTCATGCATGCTGCAATCTGTATTGTATATATATGTGTGGATGTAAAAGGTCAAAGAAGAGGGAATGATGTGTTCCTCCATGCTTTTGCCAGATCATTATTCCCCAAGACCTTTGCTTTTTCAGCATGGATACCCAGTGATGTTTTTGCATTTTTCCTGACATAGCCAAGTTGATGATCGCATAAATCTTGTTCTTGATTTCTTTTCTTGACATTTTCTCCTATTCTGTCTTGAAAATTGCACTTAAAAACTTTCTGTTAATAAGCATGTTTGCATATATTTCTCATTTAACTTAACTTTCTAATCTGATGCTTTCCAGATGTGCTGGATTACCACTCTCAAAATGTTATTGAATATATTGCATATTGGTCTCAAAATGTGTTGGAAGCTTTGCTCATGATGGCTGGGAATTCCAGAAATGATAATGTAACATGTCTAGAGATGCCAGGTGGACTAGCAGTATATTTGCCATTATTTTCATATTTTTACTGAATTGTAAGCTGCCCTGAGTCACTTTGGATAGTGAGAAGAGTAGCATTTAAATTTCAAAATCAATTAATTAAAAACTGGTGCATGGACTTAGTTTTATCTGCAGAGAGACTTCCAAAAAGAACAGCCTTAATATTGCATGGGATATCCCAGGAAGATAACCTGTGGGTCTTACACAGAGTGTCTAACTTTTTTTAAATTTTTTATTTTATTTTTTCTTGTTTTTTACAAACATACCATTGTGTGAACAGTGTGGCACCAGAGTGCCTTACATTTTAGAACAAATATGACAATATTCTTCATATTTAATACAGTTGACAATCTTAATACACACATTTGTTAAATTGTAATCTTTCATTCTTTGATTATTCACCATTTCAATATCTTATTTTTGTATCAATCTCCATATTCTGAATATTCCTCTTTTAACTACACATAAAATATTATTAATCATATTTGTGGTGTTTAACAGACTTATATAATTCTAATAAAAACTCACCAATTTATATTGGGTTATAATTTTCCATTACCCTTTCTGATTTTTAACTATGCCACTATTATATTTAAAAATACCCCCTTTCTAATCACCTAGAGTGTCTAACTCTTTGAATGAGCCATGGCAAGATGGATACGTTCAATGTGGTTAGTAGAAAACTTTGAAAACCTGAGACAGATAGCCAGGTTTAGTTCTGGGATGTGATCAGATAGCTTTTTACAGAAGGAATGCTAAGAATATTGAAGAAGTTGCATAGATTCTAGAAAGGAAAGAAGAAGTGCAAAATTCCTTTGAACTAGAAATTGTCTTCTGAGATGTAGCAATATCTCAAGCTTTGTGTCATCCACACATTTTATAAGTTTCCCTTCTATCCCTTCATTTAAATAATTTAGGATGTTGTTGAAAAATACTGGCTTCAGATCAGAATCTTTAGTTACCCTACTGATTATCTCCCTCAGTGTGGAAATAGACCCATTGTTCAGCCAAATTGGGGCACCATTTGATTGTGAGACCATCCATCCTACAGGATCGATAAATTTTGTTTCTGGAGAGCAAATACTTGTCATGAAAGAACAATATATGATTGTCTTGTTACTAAGGAGCTGTGGTGGCACAGTGGTTAGAATGCAGTATTGCCAGCAGTTTAATTCTCACCAGCTCAAGGTTGACTCAGCCTTCCATCCTTCTGAGGTTGGTAAAATGAGGACCCAGATTGTTGGGGGCAATACGCTGACTCTGTAAATTGCTTAGAGAGAGCTGTAAAGCACTAAGAAGCAGTATATAAGTCTGAGTGCTATTGCTACTAAAGGTCTGTGCTGTCAGTAGAAGGGAAGTTTGATTTCCCCACCTCCTAATTCCAAGCACTCATTACAGAAGCCTGTTGGCACAATAAAGCCCAAAATCTAGCACAAAAGTTTTTAGAATTCTTGAAGATAAAAATGTTTCCATTATGGTAACCACAGGAGCAATGGTAATACTAGCAATTTATTATTTTCCATTTTTAATGAGGAGGGGGCAGGAAAACATAAACATAGGATTTATTTAGCATTTCCTCTGGCTACCAAGTATTTGGTGGATTGACAATTCTCTGAAGTCAGCCTGAAATCATAAACAATAAAATTTTGCAGAAAGTTTCATTTTGAACTGCCACAAGTTCAAAACTTGATCATAAAGTGGTTCACTTTGATATTTTGGGAAATATTTCAACCAGTAAGAGCTAGTCCAAATTTGAAATACTCTGTTTCAAGCTCAAAACACAAAAATGCTCAATACAATAATCTCATACTTGATGCAACATTTTTGTCCTTGAGATGCTCAAAATAATTTGAAATGAAACATTTTGTGGCATACAAAGATTGGCTAGTGAGCATCCTGAATGCTTCAGAGATTCTCAGACCTGTAAACTCATCCTTGCTGGTGACAAATGGCCCTGAAAATTGACAAAACAAAGCATATGAATCTTGCATATGTTTAAAATTTGATTCAGAAGGTTGTTTGTTACAAGATGTGAAAATCAGAATTTGATTTGCAATACTGCCCTATTTCACGACTAGATGGATTATTATACTATATAAAGCAATACTATACCCTAGGCAATTTGAATTTTAAATTATAAAATGTAAATTAACTACTAACTAATCAGTTTATGGAAATCTCTTTTTCCCCCAATGTGGGACAACAGCATGTCTCTTCTCACCAGTGATAGCACTTGGTCATCTAGGGTTCTAATAAAAATATTTCCATCTCAAGATATTATTTGGCCTTGGAGGGAGATCCTGTTTTGGCATCTGCTAGATTGTATGAATGCTTGGAACTTTTACAATCTGTCAGAGAGATTTTAATCTCCAGTCTCATTATTAAAAACATTACATTTTCCCTGAATACCAGAATATTCAACCAAGGGCTTTATATTTGGCTGTATATATGTTTTTGTGAGTTTTAAAAAAATCCAAAGCTTGAGTCAAAATGAAACACCCATTATATGCAG